TAATGGGTAATTAATGAAAATTACGTTTTTTAATGCAGGATTTGATTGTACTAAAAATAAAAAAAAAATTGTTAATTAATTTTTACTGTTATATTTATTATTTCAAGATTAAAAAATCATGCTTACCACGCCGATTTCATTAGGGGTCTCTCAAAAAAAAATTGAATGTATAAGACTAATGTTAGCGTAAGCTTCATATTCTGATCTGCTTCTAAATCAGGTTGCTTGGGATTGGAATTAACCGATTATTCCTTAGTTTTATTTATGTAAAATCAGATGAATGTTCTTTCATTTCCTTGTTTTGAAATATATCGGAGGGAAAGTTTTAGGAATTAGATTTCCTGCTTTTTGGAAATGTGATAATTAAATATACATTTCCTTCTAAAATTCAGTATGAATCAGTTATATTGTTCTTTCTACACCATAAACCTCTGAGATGGAAGCAAATGGATTCAGATATGAATGTTCTGATCATTCGATGCATTTTAAATTTATTTAAAAATGGAACTTTGGATACTTGCTTTTGTGTGTTCTTTAGATAATGTAATGGTATTTTGTCAAAAAGAAGGTGTCTGCAAAGATGGGTGAGAAAATCCTTACTTATTTTTTTCTTTTAAAGAAGGGACAGAAACAATAACTGTTATCTTTTGAAAATCTTTTTGTGATAAAAAAAAAAAACGAATGAACGTATATATTCTAGAAATACCCGGTTTTGCTGCAAGAACTTCAAACCTGTTGGAAACACGTGTGTAGGCATGTACCTTTTTCTAACAAGTGAAAAGCAGAGAAAAGAAAAAAAATAATTCAAGCAAATTTTATGCAGCAACTTAAATATATGCGAACATTAAAACTATGGGTTATAAAAATAAATTCCTGATAATTCAAAGTTTCTTAAGTGTTGGGAATGCTTTTGAAAATCTAACACATTCCAATTGATATTTTAATAAACTGATGCCATTTCAATGAAAATTAGGTAATATATAACTTCCAGAATGTGATCCTGGGTACCGCGGCTATAATTGTTCCGAGACCTGTCCTCCCAACCACTATGGGCAAGGATGTTATAAAACATGTGACTGTTTTCCTTATCAGTACTGTGATACAGAAAGGGGGTGTTTGTGCAACACGACCAGTGATAATTGTACAGATCCAGGTGAGAATTCATTTCATTTATTTTATGCAGACCAAAGTAGATGATTATTTTACATATATATTAGTAAAGATGAGTGCTCATATACAGAAAGATTTCCAAATACACCATACTTTAAAAAAATATTATTTTACTTTATCATAATATAGATTTATTTCACCTAAATATGCTTTGCTTTGCGGCATGATATTTTGGAAACTATATCAAAAACTTAACATATCCTCAATTTATCTTTTATTGATTTTCGAGGTGAACTGGAGTTTCTTAGGTTCCTTTTCCAAAATTGAATCTTAAATCGGTCGCTGGTTTGCTAAAAGAGTTATTTAAGTTTTAAATCCAAATATTTTCCACGTCTTGAAAAAGGCATATTTATATAACCATAATTTTGTATTCAAGCATGAATGTTTTATTTAATACGTATATTTTGCTTTATGCAAAAGGTGAAATATTAGTTTGAAAATTGTAAAAAAAATCAAAATCAAAAGGGGTTAAGATATGCAGAATGATACACCAAAAATTCTACAAAAAACAAATCTGTTGAAATGCATTAAACATGATACCTGGAAAAAAAGTTTGGAGACGTTATCACCATATGCAAGTAAAAGCGAAATATCACTACTGGTCCCAAGATAAGAAAAATTAACAATTAAGAAGCAAAAGGTATCTCGTCTGTCACAAAGTTTAGTTATAACCATTTTCGCTTTTCTTCAATTACCAGTAAAGCAACCAAATCAAAAACAGGTCTGACAGATCTTGTATCTTCTTTTGTTTCAAGTTCACTGATCAAAAATGTAAACAAATGATTGAAAAAAACTATTGTTGATTGATATAACGTCATTAATCTAACTAAATCTGCCATTGAAGGTCAAAATAAGTGTTTTCTTCTCATGAAACAGTCTTTAAATAAAATTCTGCTCGATAAGAACATAAACAAGAGGCCCATGGGCCACATCGCTCACCTGAGCACTATGGCTAGGAAAAAGTAGAAATTGGTTTATCATTGAAAAGTTTAAATCCAAAAGTAGTCCCATGACCAATCATAGCTTTGCTATTCTTGACAAGATGATTTTTAAAGAATTTTCCTATATATATCTATGTAAAACTTTGGTCGGTCATTGTGGCCTCGCCCTACCCCCAGGTGTCATGATTTGAACAAACTTGAATCTACAATACCTGAGGATGCTTCCATATAAATATGATCAATTACGGCTTTGCTATTCTTGAGAAGAAGATTTTTAAAGAATTTTCCTATATATATCTATGTAAAACTTGGTTGGCCATTGTGGTCATGACTTCAACAAACTTAAATCTACACTACCTGAGGATGCTTCCATATAAATATGATCAATTCTGGCTTTGCTATTCTTGAGAAGAAGATTTTTAAAGAATTTTCATATTTATTTCTATGTAAAACTTTGGTCGGCCATTGTGGCCCCGCCCTACCCCCGGGGGTCATGATTTGAACAAATTTGAATCTACACTACCTGAGGATGCTTCCATATAAATATGATCAATTACGACTTTGTTATTCTTGACAAGATGATTTTTAAAGAATTTTCCTATATATTTCGATGTAAACCTTTGGCCGGCCATTGTGGCCCCGCCCTACCCCTGGGGGTCATGACTTCAACAAACTTAAATCTACACTACCTGAGGATGCTTCCATATAAATATGATCAATTCTGGCTTTGCTATTCTTGAGAAGAAGATTTTTAAAGAATTTTCATATTTATTTCTATGTAAAACTTTGGTCGGCCATTGTGGCCCCGCCCTACCCCCGGGGGTCATGATTTGAACAAATTTGAATCTACACTACCTGAGGATGCTTCCATATAAAAATGATCAATTACGACTTTGTTATTCTTGACAAGATGATTTTTAAAGAATTTTCCTATATATTTCGATGTAAAACTTTGGCCGGCCATTGTGGCCCCGCCCTACCCCTGGGGGTCATGATTTGAACAAATTTGAATCTACACTACCTGAGGATGTTTCCCCATAAATTTCATTTTTCCTTGCACAGTGGTTCTTGAGAAGAAGATTTTTAAAACATACCACCAAAATTTCATTACTTCCCAATTATCTCCCCTTGAATGAGGGCGTGGCCCTTCATTTGAACAAACTTGAATCCCCTTCACCCAAGAATGCTTTGTGGCAAGTTTGGTTGAAATTGGCCTAGCGGTTCTTGAGAAGAAGTTGAAAATGTAAAAGTTTACGGACAGACAGACAGACAGACGGACAGACGGATGCCGGACAAAATGTGATCAAAAAAGCTTACTTGAGCCTTCGGCTCAGGTGAGCTAAAAAGGTCTTCTGAATAAATAAATAAACATAATTAGGTCCATAGCATTTTAAAAGTTTGTTGGCAGACCTGGCCTTCGAAGACTGCATAAATATTGTTAATTAGGGAATCCAGCATCCTTTTGACGTCAACCTCAGAGTACTTGTGTTTAAAACCAGAGTGGCTTAAAATAATATTTTTCCCAAAACTTAAGAGCTAAACTTGTTTCATTTCAGGCCGTCTTCAAAGCAAAATAAATGGATAAATATTTTTAAAAATTTGATAGAAATCTTAGATCATGCCTGCTGTTCAATCCAACTCAATGAATAAAATATATTTTTAAACTAGAAATTTTAGTGCATTTGCTCATCCAATGAATTTATCGATGCAAAAATGTCTATGATGAATATGCATGGGCGTCGGAAGCAAATCGAAAGTGGGGTGGGTGGTGGGAGTGGGCTAAACCAACAAAAAATGGTAAAGCCCATTTTCATTGACTATATTATGTATATATTTGCAAAAAAGTTTAGGGGGGGGGGGGGGGAGCTAACTAATTTGTTAAGTTTATACTGAAAGATTAGAGTTTAAATTTTTTTATGTTATAAAATTGTAAATATTAGCGATTTGAAAGACTGACAGTATTGAATAAAAATTACTAATGATTAATAACATCGTCATAAACAATATGATGAAATGAAACATACGGAGATAACAAACAGTATTCAAGATCAAAAGTCCATAAAACAATACAAAATAGGAGCAGAGCAAACACGGGCCCCCAAAACATCAGAGGTGGGATCAGGTGCCATAGAGGAGTGAGCATCCCCTGCTGACCGGTCATATCCGTCGTGTGCTCCTTGTCATGATCGAGAAAAAACGGAAAAGCCTCTCTATCTCTCTATACATTTAAGTTTTTTTCCCTCTCTCTTAAAATATTCCTATTATTTTATTAATCTGTATTTATCTGTGTTTTAATTACTATCTTTCTGATAAGAGAAATTGCCATCAATCATGAATCATAATCTGTATTTTCCTATTTGAATAACCACTTGCATTTCAGCTACCATATTAGAATAAATCCAATTTATTTTTCACAACTCTGTTATAAATTTATGTAGTTGTCTGGAGAATAGCCTTAATGATGTCTCTCTATTCTTTATATTTCACAGAACCAGTGACTGTCGAAACAAGCTTAGGAAAAACAAGTGTTTACATCTTAACCAGTATGTGTGCTAAAAAAGATACTAAGTACTCTGCATTGATTTATTCCTTTTTAAACAAGCATTTAATTTTAGCTCTATGAATAAATCAGATATGATAAAGAAAGGTAAAGAAAAATAGCAAAAATATAACAAAGACAAGTTGAACCCATAGATGTGTCGATGTGTGCATTTTCAAGGATAAGCAAAATATATATGTTTTATAATAAGATAGTGTTGAAATTTCCTTCAATTATTTCGTGCTTTGACGACATTTCTATTGCATATCTTTATGTAGGTTTTCAAGGTAATATATAGAAAAGTGTTAAAAAATGCATGACTCCAAATCTCAAAAAACGTTTAATTGTAGCTTATCATAACAAAAACCCGACAAATTTACTCACAGTTACTTTATCCTCGACAATATCAGTCGTTCTACTGCTTGCAGCTGGGGTCACCTGCATAAGGTAATGTTCTTTACTAATGAATAATTTCAGAAATAGATCCACTGATTGCACTTCATTACTACATATTCTTTAAAATATTTAAATTATTTAGTTTTAATTATTTTTTTGAAAAAGTTTTTGGATGAAGAAAAGATTGAGAGAGGCAAAGAAAGGTAACATTTAATATACAGAGTTGTTTAAATTTTATCATTTACCTTTGATTTAGCATAAAATAGGTCTTTCTTTACAAACATGTCTTCTGTCGTACGTCGCACTTGTACGTTATTTTAAAATTTCTAGGTTCCTTACAGAATTTTGATATGAAACAGAAAAATATTGTGACAGATTGTCAGTATGAAATCTAAAATTTATTTCTATTCTGAAATATTTACAGATAAATCTATTATTTATTAAATAATCGAGACATCTACGTTAGAAACATTCTAGTTAGGACTGAAATTGTTCTATTATGATTAAGGAATTCATAATGAAATTTTCCTATTTTCAAAGAAAGATATACATTGGGAGATCAACAATTGTTACATGTCGAAGATACGTCCCCTGGCACTAATCCACAACCTCATCAAACTGAGGACATATACGCTCACACAACATCGGGAATTTACCATCATTTAAGTCTCAGAGTACAGCTTAGCAGTTTATCTGATAGTGATAAAAACATAGAGAACCCCTCTCACTGCCCGGGTCTCTCCCCTGATACAATTTCTGAACAAAGTGAGGAAAGAATCCAAACAAAAGAAAAAGAATCACAGACAGACATTCATACGGACAGCGAACATTCAGAGGAAGTTTATTTTGATGTGAGCTACGCAATACAAAATGCAGTTGATTTACAAAAAGATGAATCATTTGAACGAAAGTGTTCCTTAAAATCAGAAACAGACGTAGAAGATGGTGAGTATTGTGACGTGAAGTACAGCAGACAACATTCTAAAGTTGTATACGGAAATGAATTTCCCAGACAACAGATTTCTTCCAATTCCGAACTGGACTTTGATAAGGACGGTTTAGCAGATTATGTTAATTGTATTAATATTTATCACATTAATGAATCTGTTGGCGATGTTTATTCATCAGTACAAAAAACTTCAAAAAAGACAAAGTTTTAGTGAGCATTTTTAGAAAAAAAAAATTGGCATTTTTTTTTAAATTGAATTTTTTCATGATATGGAATGAAACATTTGAAATGTAGTAGAAATATTTTTAAAGATAAGAGAAAAGAATCTTTCTTCGATTGTGTGAAAAATGAATGAAATTGTTAAGGTACATGCAATAATTTGTTCTTTTTAGTTTCATGAGAATTAAAATTTATGAAAGAAGATAAATGGACTATTGTGAATAATAGAATTACTCTGACGCCTACCTCCAAGTCATCTTATGGTCAATACAGAGTTAAGAGGGTACATCAGCAAGATATTCATATGCAGAAAACTCCGTTTTTGAGCTTTAGATTTTAGATGCGATTATGATACAGTTACCTTCCTCTCTGTTTATAAGTTTGTCTGTTTACATAAATTCAGGCCTTCGTTTGAACAATCATTGATAATCGTTAATTGTTGTTAATTCAAAATCTATGAAATTCAGAGATAAAACCAGGTGCCTAGAAGAAGAAAACAGCCCCATTGACTGGTCAATTTCGCCGTGAACTTTATTTATTCATTAGGGCGGCGGAATTCCAAACTAGAAATGCTTCAATAATGTCAATACAAACCTTACTGTTAGAATTTGATTTAAATTTTGTTATGTAGTATACAAATTTTGAATAACTTCCAATTATATAATACATGTAAATGTGTGTATAAGTTTCATGGATTTTATTTCTAATTTAACGCGTGTTGTTCATTAGAGCAGGAAGAAGTTGATAGGCATTATATTCATATGATGGGAATATAACAAAATTATATAGCACACATGAATATTATATCACTGTTCCTTATTTCCACTTTTATCGAATTCATGGAGATGTCACCATGTCGATGAATAGCTTATAATTACAAACTAAACCTTTACGTGGCACTCAAGTCTATTGATCAGTGTCACGGTCACACAATGTTGGAGTCTGAATCAGCCAATAACGATAACTGGTTCTCAATGCAAATGGTGAAAACAAATTAAGACATGACAAAAAACTATAACATGAAATAAACCTGATAAGTTGCAGGAACTTTTTTGAAAATTTATACTCGAGCTTTAGTCCAAGTTTAAATTGAGCTATGATTAATTTCATTTCATTGGTGTTATTACGGATATTTTTCTTTTAATTTCCTTCCTCTAATTTAAATACTTCCTGACAGATGTTATTTTCCGTTTATTTTGAAATCATACAGGAAAGACAGCATCATGCAGTTGCATACAGGAAAAGGTGTTTATATTGGTTGTTTACTCAAATGGTCACCGACACACCGGGAGAACACAAGGTTTAAAAATTATTACTACTTAGCATTGATAGTTATTCAATTCAGAATAAATCTTCAAGTACGACTTAACTTCTTTTCTGATGATTTACGGATCTTGCAAGATTATTACACATATATATGCAATGTAGTGAAGGGCATCAAATTTAGACCTTTACTCAGCACTATATATTTTTCTCAAATTTCAAAATTCACGGAAAGTCATGTTTCTCTAAAATTATGTTGTCAGTAATGTCATCTTCAATGCATTTGATTCATTTTACATTGAATGATATATTGATTGAAAATAATTTTAAAAGTCGACAGAACCTATAAGACGTAATGTCTCCGGTTCAAAATAAAACACATTCAGCAAAGGATAATTAATGAAAATTGGATATTATGACTGGACCCTTAAAAAATTATTTTTGAATATGAATGGGTTGGCGGTGACGGAAAAAAGTATATGTACGTAAAATATATAATTTTAAAAAATGTTATTTGAACCCATTCCATTTGGAAATCGAACACTTTGAACTGTAAGATAACGAACAGTAATCGAACTCGGAAAATCTACAAACAATACAAATTGTGAGCAGGGCGTAAACACGGCCGCCCAGGAATACCAGAGGCGAGAACAGGCGCCTAGGAGGAGTAAGCATCTTCCTCTAATCGGTCACACCCGCCGTCAGCTCCATGTATTGATCAAGAAAGTGGAGCATTCCGTAATCAGATTTAGTATAAAGACAAAGGCCTAACAATTGGATGAAACTACGACCCAATGATAGGTTAAAATGATATTTGGAGAAATATTTGTTTCAACAAATGTGTTTATTTAAAGCACACTGACGCAATAACAAGAAGACTTCGATCGTCGCAATTTCATGGTTAACGCGTTCAGTCTTACGCCCAATTATGAGCTTTGGAGGGAGTTCGAATCATGGGTGAAGCTCTTTTTTAAAACATAATGTTAAAACATCATTGAAAAATAAATGACATATATTCATCGATTACTTATTAAATAAAGTAAAGGAAGCAAATTATGTTCAAAGATGATATTATCAAACTTTTTAGATTACAAATAATTTCATAAAAAAAATTAATTTCATGCAAATCAGGAAAAAGGATCTGAGAAAATTGTTGCCATTTCAAAGAATGTGGTAAACATACTATAGCATTCCCTCAAAACAAGAATAGCTTTAGAATATCTTTAAAAGATGAAATTTAAAGAATTAAAATGTTATTTCGGGGATAAATTGGGGAAGAAAACTTAGATACAATGAAGCATATGGCGATAATGAACAGTATTCCAGATCAAAAGTCCATAAACAATAAAAAACAGGGGCAGAGCAAACGCACACATCCATAACATCATAGACGGGATTAGGTGCAATGGAGAAGTGAACATACACTGCCGACTGGTCACAACCTCCGTGTAATCCCTGTCATGATCGGGAAATAATGAAAAAAATCCGTCGTCAATTCAGTGTACATGTATAAATAATGGACTAACAATTAGTATGAAAAACGTCAGTCAGCATTTGACTCAATGATAAATTGTATTTGCTGACAAGGTCATTGTATCGACCATAGAACTTACGATATGATGACTTTAAACGAGCCTGCTGAAATTATTGTTTCAACGGCTTGTTTGTCAATAATTTATCTCGTTGTAGCAATTGTTCAAATACTTTTCCATCGGTATATAGTTTGAAAATAGGCAAGAGCATTTCAAATTATTCAAAATGAGCAAAACTCCCATATTAACTTAGTAAATGAGAACGGTATCAGATTCATGACAAGTCTCCATTTAAAAGTTTACTCAAATACATCTACAATGATTCCTTAAAGGTTTCATGTGTTTCATAATTGCTTGAAATTACTTTTAACCAGCTTTTGCTCGTAGATATTTTTTTTATTACACACATTGCAACAAATTACCCAAAGGAATATAGCAAGTGATTAAAATGAAGTAGATTTTCGTTTAGCACTTTCCACACCGTCTTGTGCAAAATGAATTATATCATTATGCTATGAATAAGAACAGAATAAAAGGCTGGAGAAGTTCTCATTAACATATTTTCTTTCTCAAGATGGTTCTTACATTTAAATCATAGAATCCGGACAGGTTTTTATTGCAGAGCAGAAGAAACTTTAACTTGTCTGATTTTACAATTAATTTTTTGTTGTGTGATCGCACAAGCTTATTAATACCATGAAATTATGTCTCTCTGTAGATTCGATACGTAAGAGCATGTTCAACGTATGAACAATTTCTGAAACGAGGCAAGCTATAGAAAATCAAGTTGATGAGACAAGCTTTAAGGGTATCAACAGTCTCATTAAAAGTTATAAATTCGATCGCAAGATTTTGGTCGATGCATGAACAATTGGAGAGCAATTGCCTTGTCAGCAAGTTCATTGAGTTAAATGCTAACTGACGTTTTTCATATTTATTGTTAGTCCATTATTTTCATACTGAATTGTCTACGTTTTTTTCTCCAATCATGACGAGGATAACACGGAAGTTTGTGACCGGTTGACAGGTGATGCCTACTCCTTTACTCGTATTTCCACTCCTGATGCCTCAAAGGTCCATTTTGCCTAATGTGTATTCTTTGAATGGACTAGTGAGTTTGAATATTATTCATTATCTTCATGTATCGTATTTCTTAGGTTTTCCTGAATTATGTTTTTTTTTGTACTTTCAAAAGTATAATATCAATACACTGTGAATTATCTTTTCAAATTCAAATTTGAATTATCTATAAGATTTATTTTGCTGGCAAAGGGATAATTATTTTTCCAGAGGACTGTGTCAATGGAATCAATAAATTTTTTGATTGTAGACAATAAACCTACTTCAGCATTTGTTTCATTGCATGAGAGAATATAATCTGATCAAGATGCACTAATTGTTTGGTTAAATATCAATACTAATTTAATACTGTTTATTTTAATTAGTACTTATTAAATCTTTGACTACCAATAATATGTCATTTGTGACTGACCCCTTTCTTGGTTTAATTTGTTCAGGTACCTACAGTCTGCTAAATAGTAATGAAGTAATGTTACTTTCCATATAACAATGATAAATAACTGTATCAAATATTCGAGTGTATTGACTGCATAAGGAAATTAACTCTGATGTGTATTTCAGTTTGTTTTTGTAAGAGTGATGGTTCTTAGTGTGTACATCCATGTTTAATACATGCGAGTAGAAGTTTAGTGCGGAGGCAAGACAGGGGATGTAAATAAAGACACATGAAGATACAGTTCATTTTTTCACTGGCGGTGAGGATAAAAATTACTACATTTATAAAATTGAGTTTGATGGTTCGATTGATTGATATGTTTTGTTGTTTTTCGTACATTTGGTAAATTTCTCACTTATATAAAGATGTCACCAGACACCGGAGTAGGAATTATATTTCGGAATTTTCGAGCGTTACTCAGCACTCAGAACCATCGAGCAGTGAAGGATCTTTATCGAGCCAACTTATGCCGTGACAAGGGGTCTCGGTTTTTAAGGTCTCATCCGCAGGACCTGCAACTTTCATTTCAAAGTGCCGAGGGCTTGGGGACGCTACAGTTGTTATTTTTTATCGACCTGGTCAGACGCGGTCAGAGTTCAAACTAAAGACTTTCTGTTCATGGATTGAGTGCTCTCTCGACCCAAATGCTAATCCATAGCAGTTAAATCAGGCGATGAATAGATTGCAGGGGTTTGTTCGTTTTGCAATTAGAAACGGTGTAGCTGACCCACTACAAAGAGAAGTATTCTCAGTAACGGGTTATATTCTGCAGGACCAAACGTACAAACACACTGAATGAAGTTCACATCGAGGACAATGACAATGTGTTTACATGTAGTTATATATGTATTCAGTGAAAACCTTAGATAAACAGTTTGATAGTAAAGTGAATATTTCATATAAATTGTATGGCAAAATAACGAATTGATAAGGAAACAAAGGCTAATTTATTTAAACAATAAAATGCTTTCTTTGTTTGTTATTACTGGAATTAACGGAAGCAGCTGTTACAGAAAAAAATACATAACCGAGTAAACGGGATATGTAAATTTTTTCTGCAATAGCTGCGACCGGCAATTCCAGTAATAGCAAACAAAGAAAGCATTTTATTGTTTATATTTATATCTGTTTAAATAATCATTTAAAGTAGGATTAAAACGATTAATTATTGTATTAATGATGCGAACGTCTTTATACGTTTCATTGATGGAACAGCCACTGATCAAGAAATCTGTACAGGCGACATGCCTACTGTAGTTCATGCAGTGATTAACGCAATGGGTTTTCTTAAGAAATAAAGGAGAAAATATTCAGTGGATGTAAATATTAAAACATTAAAACATTATAAGAAGTATAATGTGATTTTGCATCACTGCGGTGAAAAAAGCAAGATCACTACAAATCTAGAGGAGTCAAAATTATTAGTTCTGTTGTAATAAAGTATGAAGATAAGGAATACTTTTCAAGCTCAAAAATTCACTTAAAAAATTTAAGAAGTTGGGAGCAGAGCAACTACAGACTTTCCAAATATCAGAGGGGGGTCAGATGCTATAAAGGAGGAAGAATTACAGTCGACCATTCTCACTCTTCGCGTGACTCTTGTCAAAAAGATGAAATTATGAAAATCATCAGTCAAACATTTGTCCTAAGATTGCATTCGCTGAAAAGTCATTGAATCATTCATACAAATTAACGAAATGTCTACTTTAAACATAAGTCTGTTTATCAGAAGCTTGATCATTTTCGAACCTGTTCATTCGTAGAACATGCTTTTGCATATCGACCAACTTGAATACAGAAACCTAATATAAAGGCGAAAATAGCATATTGATGAGTGAAGTTGACAATAGAAAAAAAAAGAAAGTCATCACTTTAATCATTTTAAGTTTTGTTGTCTATTAAAAAATGTGAAAGTCTTTTGCTGCTTTGGACCTCAAGATTTCGCTATACCGACAGCATTTAATCAATTGACAATAAGCTATTTCATTCAAACAGTGATTCGATTTATATCACTGAACTCGAAATTCACTACATTGCAGTCTGACTTATTTGTTTAGAAGTTTGAATAGAAAAAGACTTGACCACTTAACTTTAAGATTCACTTGATTACTTCATCTTGTCCAGTGTTAACCTTGCTTTATTTACATAAGGAATTGCATTTTTTTACCTATATATAGTGTTTGTTTGTGTTATTTCAGAATTTTTTTCCTCGATGAAAAATAATATTCTTTTGAACGGAGTCAGGTTACTGGCAAATATTATGAAGAGTTAGTTTACAAATTGTTACTGTAGTCAGGCTGAAGTATGTATTTAATAAATATCGCTCGGCCTCTCTTTTCATACTAAATATAAATAAAATGACTTCTTCCTGATAATGTTAAGGAGTTCACAGCTGCTGTGTCAGTTAGACAGGGGATCCAAATTTGAAAATACATTTATATAAAGTTATTTAATCATCCTCAGGGTGTTCTTGAGAAGGACATTTTAATCATATCTTCCTACTTATTCAAATGTAAGAAATTGATCCTCTTTTGCTTACTTCCCTAACTCCATGAGTAATGATTATATCTCACTTAAAATAAAGCATAATGTACATGTATTTGGCATACATTTAGTCTTATCTGGCCAAGTGGTTCATGATAAAAAGAAATTTAAAAATGTCTTTAAATTTTAACTGATTCATAGGGGTGGTCTTTATTGGAACCAATTTTAATCCTCTTTATTCAAGAAGCACCTCAAGTAAAGATGAAATCGTCACAGTGGCTTTTGAGGGAAAAGTCGAAAAGACGGATAGACGACAGAAAGACATTGAATATTGTACGATTTGAAAAGCTTCCTTAACCCTTTGACTTTTATAAAACAAAAATCCGGGGAGTTACTACGTGTAAAAACACAAATGAGATATTATTAGCATATTTTCACTATATTGAAAGAAAACAGTAAAATTGTTCATCCCCTTTAAAGAACACTTTCAGAGCCTTTTGAATTCAGTATTTATATCCAGGGAATGACAAGTTGTATTTATTTATAAATAAATGACCATGACATGATAAATTTAAATACATAAGGTTAGTTCCAATATTTTTTCATTTCAATCAATTACCTCCCTAAAGCTAAACAATAATTACACAAGATATTGTGATACTATTGAGAGTCTCCTGTTGATGAGGAAGGTTAACAAAAAAGAGATATCTAATGATAAGTATTGATATAGCAATATATTAATGAGTTTATAAAATGTTTCTTAATTTAGAACGATTTGGAGTTATCCCAAGTAAATATTCATATTTCATATATCAAAGATTAAAAGCCGATTTCCGGAGATTATAACAAGGAACTACAAGTGAAACATTTAAAAAAAAATCTGTTTATAAAAAAATATAAGGTCCAGTATCCATAATATTGTCATAAAATGCGACTGCAAGTCTTCTTTTTTGCATACACTTTTAGTATGTCTATGTTATCTTGCCAAAATTTAATCGGAAGTAATATATGTAGATATGGGTAAGTGGAGTGTTTTCTCGGGGTAATTTTTATTGGGTAAAATACATGAATGTCTTAATAAATGTGAGATATATATTATAAATATTATTTTGTAGAACGATCATGATTTGTTGTAAGGATTTTAAACAAGTCGGAAACACATGTATAGGTATGTGTACCATGAAGAAAAGATCTTCGTTAACTTTTTAGAATAATAAAATTTATACTTCACAATGTCTCTGAAATGTAGTTGATATGAAAAACGTATAAAATCTGCATAAAAAATAAGGAAAACCTTATCACTTAAACTGTTTATTTGAGCACATAAACCGTACATTGTTTTATCTGTGAAAAAAATATATATTCACAAGATAAAAAGTATTGTATTTTCAGAATGTGATCCAGGCTATAGGGGAACTAACTGTTCTGCGACCTGTCCAGCCAATTACTTTGGTCAGCGATGTGGCCAGAAATGTGATTGTTTGCCATTTCAGTACTGTAATGCAAAGAGTGGTTGTCAATGTAACGAGACAAGTGCAAGTTGTCCTGATTCTAATGGTATATTTATTAAATCAAATATCACTTATGAAAATAAAAGGATGTAAAACCGAATTTCTGAGTTTCATATAGACGAGTCAAATTACTACCACCTTTGTCAAAAACTTTTTTAATAAGGGACTTTCCGGATAGTCTGGTCTGGATATTGCTGATTGATTTACACATAGCTCTGAAGTGTTTGGCATGAAATGAAATATATAGAGATAACTAACAGTATTCAAGCTCAAAGTCCAACAAACAATACAAATTTTGGAGCAGAGCAAACACGGACCCCTAAAAAACATCAGAGGTGGGATCAGGTGCCATGGAGGAGTAAGCATCCTTGCCGACCGGTCACACCCACCGAGTGCTCCTTTTCATGAGGGGATATAACGGAAAAATCCGCCGTCAATTCAGTATGTAAATTATGGACTAGCAAATAGAATGAAAAGATCAGTCAGCATTTGAACCAATATAGTATAGTTTGTATTTGCTCACAAGATCATTGTATCAATCATAGAACTTAAGAAATTATGCCTTTAAACGGGACTGATATTCTTGCTTCATGAACTTGTTTTTTAAATACCTTATTATGGTGACATATTTATGCCATCCACATAATTTTTTGTCAGCATAAGATATCACGTCAAGTCAAGATAAATATCGCGTCAAGTCATGATAACTTTCTGGTTTGTCGTCAAACACCGACATTTTAATCTTGTACAGTCAAGATAAACTATCGTATTTTGCGATAGCTTTCTCGACAAAACGAGATAATTTATCTTGTATCGCGATTAAAAGTTATCTCGTCATGTCAAGATAGCTATTGCAACAAAACGTGATAGCTTATCTTTATGGTGGCATATTTCTGCCATTCAGATAACTTTTGTCAACATAAGATATCACGTCAAGTCAAAATAATTATCGCCTCAAGTCATGAAAACTTTCTGGTTTGTCGTCGAACACCGACTTTTATCTTGTCCAGTCAAGATAAGCTGTCGTATTTTTGCGATAGCTATCTCGCCAAAACCAGATAATTTATCTTGTATCGCGATTAAAAGTTATCTCGTCATGTCAAGATAGCTATTGCAACAAAACGTGATAGCTTATCTTGACTTGACAAGATATAAGTCGGTCTTTGACGACAAACCAGAAAGCTATCACCACTTGACGAGATAGTTATCTTGACTTGACATGATATGCTTTATTGGCAAAAAATATGAGAATGGCAAAAATATGCAACTATACCTTAGCTCAATTAAAAAATTGTTCATACGTAGAGCATGCTCTTGTGAGGAAGGTATATTGCAGCATAAGTAAGGGAAATTGACGATTTAAAAGTTCAAGTCATCTCGTTTATCTTGAAGCTTTGTTGTTAGGTTACCATTAACATCTTTTTTCAAGTAAAACATCCAAATATGAAACAAATGTGCTATGGTATCTATAGTCTATGGTATCTTTGTTTCTAGCTCACCTTGAAGGATAGTATCGACATAAGAATAAATATAATTTGTACTTTTACAACTTTTACATTTATCAGGGGTTTACAGCTTTTGAATTTTTAAGTTAGTTATTTTAAAAAAATTAACTCAACAGTCTCAAGATATGAAATATCGAAAAAGTGAATAAAAATAGTTATTCATAGAAAAAATAAAAATACATTTAAGGTATTTAATGTTAGACGACCATATTGTTAACCTAATAAATGAATGATCTGATATTTTCAATCATGGTAGCATTTTGAAGATGTTATCAAATAAATATGCTCCACCGAAGGAATTTTCAAAATGTTGATTATTATCAAATTAATTGTACCTTGAATTTTACAATGAAGTCTATGGGCAGCGCACGTTTTTATCATATATTGTAAAAAGTAATTTGAAATTCAAACAAATCTCTTGGTGAAAATGTGCATAAACTCCTTCTTTATCTTAAACTATGAATTAAAATAAATTTCTGCCCGCAGAAATTTTGACAAATCAAAATTTTTCTTCTTTTCATCAAGGGCAGATAACTCTTCAAAAACTTTTAATGTGCAAATTGACTGTCTCCTTACATGTTATCAGTCTTGTGAATTTGGTTCTTTTCACTTTTATTGTTATATAGCAATGCGTTTTTAACTAGTTTAAAATTATTTTAAATCGTTTGAATACCTTAATGAAAGAGAATGTAAGTAATGAATGAAGGTTTGTCTAAGGACTTTTTAACCTACATTGACATTGATAAATTTTCATCTTTTCTTTTATGGAAAAAGAGACAAAGAAAACAACTGGAGAAGGAACGGTGGGAACCAATTACCAATACAGTGTGTATTTGACAATTTTATGAAGATTAACTAAAAAAATAATTGATGACTTTTTAAATGAAAACTTTATTTGTAGATATTGCCCCACCTTCCAATACTTGTGCCGTCCATGAAGGATTCCCGTCAGCCCTCTCTTTCCTTCCCTTGATTTTTATCGCAATCACAGATTGCTTAAGGTAAATAGATTTTGTTCTTAAGTTTAGATTTAAAAAAAAAATGAAATACATTTATCAAAATAAGTGTTCATTTAAAAGTATTTTACAATTTTTAAAATTTAGATTATGATTGAAGAAAATAAATATAAAGAATATGACTGCATCAAATAACCGTTAACCATCTATTGATAGTGAAAGGCGATGATGACATTGTCACGACAGAGTATCTTATACATACGTACGTTCATAGAAGAAGAGATCCACTGTTTTCCTTTTCCTCAAGTGAAATACGCACCAATATATTTAACAAGAAGGGTGAAATGTGATTTTTTTTTAATGTTTTTACAGAAACAAATAAGAGGTGTTCATTCTCCGGTGGTTATTTTACTGGAAAAACAGGATGTGAAGAAAAAATTAAAAAGTCAATTTTTGTTTCAATACAAAACATAAATAAAAATAATTCGAAATGAAATATTGTGTTTTATTTATTTCTTCTATGTAATACAATACACAAATTGACAAAAATACCATATTTAAACATAAAGAGGATTAATATGCCCAATGTTACACATGTTAAGCTGTATCTTGGAGTACGAGTTTTATCCTTATGACTTTATACAGAGCCTATTAGAACCAGTGCGTTAAAAAAACGTTAAAAATGATAGTGACGTGGAAAGCTAAATTAAGCAAATGAACAATGAAATGAAAGAAGACAAATTTTGTTGTATCTTTAAATTAATTTAAATGAAAACAATTGATCAATCTTGGTGTTCCTAGAGTATTGAATGTACATATTGTTACAACAAACCACGCATTCACAATGTTTCATGTGTTATATAGAGTATTGAACGTTGTAGATTCACAAAATATTTCATATTGAAAACTACAACGAAAGTTAAAACTGTTCATTTAAATACGCTTGAAAATGTGAACATAAAGATAATAGAAAATGATGGAAAATATAATTATGTTTAATAGGCATATAAGATAGTTTTATGGTTTTTTTTTATTGTATTTGTATTTTCCAAGCATAAAGTTCCTATAGTATTAACAGTTCCTGTAGTATTAACAGTTAATCCACAATGCAACTTAACGTATTCTGTTAATTTGTCGGTTTTTTGGCACTATGGTATCTTGTTAAGCATGTAAAAGTTGACAAAACATTTCTATAAAAGTAGATTCGAATTACTAGTATCTCATAGAATCGTTTAATATATATGACCTCTCCATTTCTTAAAAAAATTATATAACTTGACGTTATTACTCTCTCGCGTTCCTGTATAAATGCATTTGTAACTTTCCCTAGCTACTTGGGTTTATTTAAGATTTGTATGTTTGGAAATTTCTCGAATGTATCATTTCGGCAGAAGATGCTCACTTCCCTATGGCACCTGATCCAACTTCTCATGTTTTGGAGGTTCGTGTTTGATCCGCTTCTAACTTGTAATGTTAAATGGACTTTTGAGCTCGAATACTGTTGTTATCGCCACACATTTCAATGATGTTATAAACACGCTACAATCACGTTACAGACAAATTACGGAGAAACATAAGAACACAAAGTCAAGTTAAAAGGAAGTTCATTGTCGAAATATCTTTAAGATTTGCTTAGTTTGCCTATGGGCAGGAAATGTTCCAGTATTTGACATTGTTTTCATTGAAGTGTTCAAAAGTCCGTAATTTTAAACGGAAAAAATATAGGCATAGCACTTGGCTATATCGTATCAAAGTCACATTCGATTTTTATGATGAGGATATGGAAACATAAGCACATGTTTAACAATGCTGCTTTTAAGATTCATCTCTTTTCTTCTATATTCTTTGACTGTTTCTTTTGTATTCTGTAAAAATTTAACAGGAGAAAATATTTGTATAGAGCATTTAGATGATCGGTAAGATCTATTTCATACAAGTTAAAGTAAATGATTAAAAGTACATGCATTTCCCTTCATTTATTGTGAGACATAAATTGATTATAAGTTGATTAATATATATTCAAATTTGTAGAATTGCCTATGTATGCTGCAAAGATTATAGACAACTAGGGAATAAATGTATTGGTATACTTTTTGACACTGGATTACATGACTCTTTCATCTAACATTCTAAAGAAATCAAAGATTCAATAATAATAAAAAAATAACAGAGGCTAAAAAAGGCGATGGTTAGTCTTTTACCTTGTAATCTTCACAAAGTGACCATCAATACAGAATCAATAGAAGCATCGCCTTAAAAATGTTGTTCTATGTCAAATAAAGACGTAAAAATGGTACTTTCAGAATGTGACCCAGGATATTGGGGAACTAAGTGCTCCTCTAAGTGCCCCTCTAACTATTATGGAAGCAGATGTATCAAAAGATGTGAATGTTTGCCTTTCCAATATTGTGATATGCAAAGAGGATGTCAGTGCAACGAGGCAAATCACAGTTGTTTAAAGTCAGATGGTAAGTCGTATAACGTGAATGACGAAAATAAACAAGAGGCCCATTGGCCACATCGCTTACCTGAGCACTTTGGCTAGGAAAAAAGAAGAAATAAGGTTATTATTGAAAAGTAGTCCCAAACATTTCTTAAAGGGGAGAGGGTATGATTTGCACTAACGTGAATCTACACTACCCGAGGATGCTTCCATATAATTATGATCAATCATGGCTTTGCTATTCTTGAGAAGAAGAATTTTAAAGAATTTTTCTATATAGTTCTATGTTAAACTTTGGTCGGCCATTGTGGCCCCGCCCTACCCAGGGGGTCATGATTTGAACAAACTTGAATCTACACTACCTGAGGATGCTTCCATATAAGAATGGTCAATCATGTCTTTGTTGTTCTTGAGAAGAAGCTTTTTAAAGATTTTTTTTTATATATTTCTATGTGAAATTTTGATCGGTTATTGTGACCCCGCCAAAACACAGGGGGTCGTGATTTGAACAAACTTAAATCTACACTACTTGAGGATGTTTTCCCATAAGTTTCATCTTTCCTGGCATAGTGGTTCTTGAGAAGAAGATTTTTAAAACATGCCACCAAATTTTAACTATTTTTGAATTAACTTTCCTTGAAACCAGCATCTATTGTAACCAATTCATAGAAAACAATAAAATTGTGTCTATTCCATTTTTGAAGGGAAAAAATCAAATTTTTCTTTGTATTTGTGTTCTTTACGTTTGTACTAATTACAGTATAAACTTAGAGAAAAAGTTACACCGTATGCGGCGTTTGGCGCAAGAAGAGCGTGCTGAAGCAGACAGTATGTTGTCTGTAGGGGGTTCCTTTAGAGAAATCCGTAAAAAATGAAAACAATAAAATGCTTATGAATTTCACTCATGAAAATTTGTTGTAAATAGATTATCAAACATAAAAATGTCTACTACAGATAGCCACGGCTTTAAGTTAACAGCATACAATAAGTTGAAAATCGTTCTACAAAACCAGGTCAACCGGAAGTTGAGTGGATTTGGTGTGGACATTAAAACACCGGATGATAACTAGGCTATATGAGAGTTAATGACTGTTTGTTATTTGATTTATAACTAGGAGAATACTCCTACTATAATATTATAGTATAAATTCACATTATCTATACAATATCTTGTTTGGCGGGAAATTTTAAAACAAAAGAAAAAATCTATACAAACTTGTACCCTTCAATTTACAATCTTCACAATTACATCGTACACATCTAGAGGAAATAATTATAGTTTAATCCGAGATTATTTTTCTTAAATTAAAATGTAATCTTATAAAGTATTTTTTCCAAGTTATCAAATGAAAACACAGTCCTTCATTTCTGAATTTTAAAACCAAAAATTTAATGTACTAATAATGGGATTTTAATATAAAATTTGAGCTTAAAATTCCAAAATTCCTCTCTTCTAGGAAAAGATATAATAGCTCTTATTTTATTATAATATTATCAAGATTGATTGTTGATTGTTAAATATTGTTATATTTTGATTTACGCACAAAAATGATATAATAGTTTGATAATTATAAAATAAAATCCAAAATCAAAAGTAGAGATATCATACACATTGATCTATCACACAAACATTTACAAATACAAATATAAAAAAACAAGAAACATGGATCCCAGGATACTTCAGAGAGGTTTGTTAAGGTTCCAAGTTGGCATGATCTCTTGACCAGTCATATTACTCAGAGATAGGCTATATTTGAAAAAGAGATTATTATCAGACCATAGAATTTACAAAATGTTGACTTTCAATATGGTTGTCAAAATTACTGTAACATACATTAGTCTGTTAGTAGCCTGCTTTTGTTTAAAAAACCGATCGTAACATATGACGTTAGCAACTACGGGTAAATGCATCATTAATTACTGTTATGTCCTTCAAAAAGTGATGAATAATTCTTATACTTTATTAATTAAAGATCTGAGAAAATGTTTACATCTATGCTGCATTATAATATTGAGTTTTAGCGTGCCATTGTACTTTACTCTTATTCAAGATATCTTTGATTTTAAAGGCACATAAAGTCATAAAAGTAAAAAGATGACAGGTTAAACTGGATCATTTGTCATTGTACCTAAAATTCGTCCGTTTTCTTTTAAGAATTTTATACAATATTATAAAGAAATCAAATCAGATTTATTTGAATTTGAATTTTATTTGAACTTCTGATTCTTTGGCCTTTAAACTTTACCCATCCACAATTAACTGTAATTCTTGGACTAAGAAATTATTTTCTATTCTTGATAATCTTGGATTCTCTAACATTACAAAATATACAGGTTCCATCCAACACCTTTTACCAAACATTAAACAAAGAATCATAGATCAGTGCACTCAAGAGCAAACATCAAAAATCTTTGGTTCAGAAAAACTTGATCTCTTCAAGAAAGTATACTCAGGAAAAAGAAGTCCTTATGTTGATTTACTCAAAAAAAGATCTGAGAGATCCTCTCTTAGTAAAATTAGACTAAGCGCACATAAACTTGCAATAGAAAGTGGTAGATATATTTCCACATCAAGAAATGAAAGATATTGTAATGTTTGTAATACTGGTGTGATTGAGGATGAAATACATTTTCTTTTTCACTGTAATTCCTACTCTAAGCTAAGAAACGCATTCTTTAGTAATATTTATAAAATAACGAAGAAAAATATTAATCTTAGCAATGAGAAATATATGCTACAACAATTATGTATAAACAGTAATATACAAAAAGTCTTGAAAGTTACTGTTAAATTTATCAGAGACTGTTTTGATCTTAGAAGTCAATTACTTGACAATTCTTGAAAAAATATGTAAACATTATTTAATGTTGTTCAGTGGGCCTTTGCCAATTATTGTAATTGTGTTTGTGCCAATAAAGTATTTGTATTTGTATTTGTATTTGAATTATGAGCGACAGCATACACAAGCTTGCAATTTTATTTAGACTGATAAAACGAAAAGCAATCTATGTATCTTTTTGCATTTTTGTTATTTCGACCACCCTAAAACAGGTCGGAGAGAATACTCGAAATCGGGTATTATCCGTGAAATCGCGTATAATACCCGGTATTAGGGTATCGTTGAATCCGCGAAATCGGGTATAGGAGGTGTAATCACCTAATACAACTTAAACAA